AGTTCTATATTCGTCGAACCCGCGAAAGCTCTTATTCAGAGCAATGTTCATACATTTTCACACCGTACGTGTATAGAGAAGAAAGCTTCACGTTCCGAAGTTTATATAAATCTATCAACATCGTGCACGTTTTGATAGACTGTATTTTTATATTCAGTGTGCGTTATTAGTCCAATACTTTCGTATTTGATACTTGGCCAGAAATGGGGCATGATCAAGATTGAAATCACGAAGAAGAATTGAACTAAAAATAATGGACGGAACGTTTTGTTCCACAGGATGAACGACATATTGGATTAATTTTGAAAATCTCGTGAAACGTAGAACCGTCTTTCAGCTATTGGTGACACTTTCGCTCAGTGGCTGAGTAATTAACAGTGTATTACTTGGTCAACTATGGACATAAACTTCCTTTATTGAATTTCTCTGTAGTTTGTTAAACCTAATGATATCAAGTTCAAACACGTCACTCCCATAAATCAAACTTCTCCTGAAAACAAAACTTGTGCAGTGTCAAGTTTTAAATGTATTAGTTTACCGTGTTTAAAATGTACCAGGTTTTGAAATATTCAAAATTTAAAGTGAAACAGGCTGCTTTGTTTGTTTAGGGTATTCGCGCAAATCTATACAAGTTCCATCTGCACTATTCGTTCCAAATTTTGAACAGACAGACTAGAGGGAAGGCAGCTAGTCAACAGCATCCACCGCCAACTCTTAGGCTACCGTAATCGAATAGTAGAATTTGACCGTCACTTAAATAACGTACCTCCAAAGTGCGAAGCGCGTTTTGCAGGATTGGGATGTAAACCACTAACTCTCGGCCCTCGGTCAAGATGTGAACTTTTAAAGCCTTGTAGATAGGATAATTACCTCCGCCACCTTCAGTTTTCACACCCCTGTTTGTGTGTGTGTGTCTGCAATATTTTTTGAAAACGGCTGAATTAATTTGGATGAATATTGGTATACATGTGGACTATGACCAAACTAAGAAGTGATTAGTTTTCAGAGGGTCAAGGTCACAGCAAGGTCATGAAAATTCCAATTCCCTATATGTTAACATGAGGACAAAACTTTCACACTATTGATTGTATTTTGATGAAATTTGGTGGACATATATAGAATACTATTCCTCATTGTCTTGCCAGTACCCGTTGATAACGACGGACACACTGACACATTTGAGAGCCGAATATGATCAACGCTACATGGCTGAGGTATTCGCTCTGCTGAGCGTCCCTCTAGTTTATAATGTTTCTAAAGTGTTAACGTTTCGATATTTCGCAATTTTTAATGTTGTTTAATTGTACGTCATTAACTCAAACATAAATATCTTTTTCAGGCTTCATCACACGTATATCAATGTAGTTCTGTTACAATATCGTTATCTTACCAAAACTACATATTGTAATTAAAAATGATAATACAGCGCGTTACAACACACTCTGTTATTTCACTATTCTGGTTGCGCAGCCCTTGTGTGCCTAAACAAACAAAGCCTTAACTCAGGGACCGTAGGGATAAATCTATAAAGGGGTGCTACATTTGGGAGAAAGACGAAATGATTGGCGAAACTACAATGGGGGTGGGAGTGGCGACATGATCCCTCACAAACTTTGTAATTTTCATGAAAATGGTACATTTTGATTATAACCTCATCTGTTTTTACACCTTTTGATTATGTTGTATATATATATGGATGTAATTTAGAGGTGCGATCGCACCCATCTGTATTCCCTTCTTTTACGCCTACACGCTTATCGGCTTATTTTTTACTAGAAATTGTTCCCCGGTAGAAGAACGATAAGTCCACAGACTTACAACACTAAATCCGATGTTCAATTCCCTGCGGTGAACACATCATATAGCCCAATGTGGCTTTGCTCTAAAACAAATAACAGATATTAGAACTTTATTCAAACTACTTATTAGAAGTAGAGTTTCCAGTTGTATACTTATATATAATCAAGTTTGTTATATCATAAGACCAGATTAGAACACTAGTATGTAAAAATCAATGTTTTATCAACAGAGAAAGGTACAGAAATGGTAAAATGTACATGCGCAGTTAAGATCTTTATAACGTTTATTGTGTACGCGTTCCAGATATTTCTATTCCTGACAGAAAATAACCATGGAAACGTCAGTTCCCTTCTACGGATCAACTACGGAAACGTCATTTCTATGGAAGGATTAAAAAAAAAGCATTCCAACTGTATGTCCCCCCTTTTTTTTCTTGGAGGTGGAGGTGGGGGGAGGGGGCAACCGCTGAATGAACACAAAGTATATTGTTGCAGAGAACGTAATGTTTGAGTTGTCTGTAAACATTTGTATAGTCGAATATTACCTAGTCATGTACATCTACTTCAATGAAATGCTGACCTTATCTGGTTTTTTTTTCTGTTTCATGACAAACATCAGAGATCATTGTTTTTTGTTTCCTTATTTGAGTGATTTATTTATCATAATCGTAAAGGCTTGTTCTTCAACAGAAATAGATGTAGACGATAGTACATCCTTTAATGCTATACATCATGATGTTAGACACATTTTGAAGTATTAAGTTAATTTTTTGTGAATTTTAAAATTCATTGTGTTGTACTTTTAAAAAGTTCCATTAATTTGCATACGATATTTAAGTGCTTGAATTTACACAGTCATTTAAATCGTGATATTGGCAAAGTATACGTATTATCTGTAACACTGATGTGCTTATGGAACTTCTGAATTTTTTGGTAATTTTATTGTTACGTTTCCTTGCGTGTTCGGGTAGAGCACGTGATCTCATTTAATCATTTTCTAAACGTATTTAAGATACGATTTCCTCAAAAAACAAATAAACACGTGTATTGTAAAACATGCTTAGAGTTTTCTTTTGTATCCTCTGAAGAAAGTGTTGTTGTTGTTTTTTATCCAAGTGGCTTTAAAATTCCAATGAATTACCTTTAACCCTCAGCAGTACACCTGGTGTCCACATGGATCCCTACAACTTTCTCGGTTGTATATCTTTTAAATAATAATTACAAATTTATATCCATTCATGTAATTGTCAAGTAGAAACCCTGGATCAATATGACACTATTGTTTTCGATACCGACAGACGGAGTATATAGCTATAATCTAATACTTATCTGGGTCCAGGTGGACCGCATATTATCATTGACCATCACTATACATGTAGTTTGCCTTATACCATACAAAACAAATTTCTAAACATTTATTTCTCTATATAAGTTGCTGTAGAGGATAATCCATTAAAGCAGTACAGTATCATCTCATCTGTTTGATTATAACATCATTGTGGTAAGCATGTATGTGCATCTCATTCCTCAACAAGTGTTCTCTGTGATGACTGCTTATAGTGTCCTATTTTATAGAATCCTTGTTTGATAATTGTTGTACATAACCTGCTTACTGGATTTTCAATTCATAGCCTACTATAAGGATACACTTGTGTTTGGGTCTGGTCGGACCCCAGGTGACCCACAACGTACACTTTCAGTTTTCTTTGAGTGGAATTTTGCAGTATTGTGGTAATCTCATCATATATTGGTGGATAATGAAATTGGAGTATAATAAAACTTCGGCATTTTTGATACATTGTTTGTATAAGGAATGGTTTAATACTACTTATTAGTATACTGAGGAACAGTGTAATTTTGTAATTTCTTGATTTGTTAACATGTTTCCTCTAGAATACATATATTTTTATGCATGCTAATCCTAATAAAACTTGTAATGCAACTGGTTTTTGGAATTTCATTCCAGAGCTTACTATAATGGTAATTTTGTGCTGGTGTCCGGTTGGACCCCTGGTGTTCCATAACGTAACTTTTCAGAACTGTTCTGATGAAGGTTAAGTAAAAAACCTTTTTTCGCGTGCCTACTTATTGTTTCAGTAGAAAATCTAGATGATGTGTTGATGGAAGCTTGAGATATTGCATGTATTCCAAGATGTATGGCTCAATGATGTATGTCTCTTCTTGTTGTCACATTTAAAGCTACATACTATTCTTTCTTCAAGACTGCGTAAAAAATTATGACTTTCTTAAAATAAAACCAAAACTTTCCCAGGGTAAGTAGATATTCAGTTAGAAGAGGC